GTAGTAGTAGTAGTAGTAGTAGTAGTAGTAGTAGTAGTAGTAGTAGTAGTAGTAGTAGTAGTAGTGGTAGTAAGAAGTAGAAGTAGAAGTGGTAGTAGTCGTCGTCGTCGTTGTCGTCGTCGTACTACTACTATAGTACCGTCGCCTCGAGCCCCTTACTGTCACAAAAAACCCCGCTTACCGTTGCAGAAAACCCCGTCCATGCGCTACCGTCGCAAAAAACCCCTGTTACCGCCGCAGAAAACCCCCACAAACGCTTGCCACCTCTCTATCCCTCGCAAAAAACCCTCGCCCCACCGTCGCAAAAAAAAACCCTGCAGACAGTACTGTCACAGAAAACCCTTTCTGCGGTCACCGTCGCAAAAAAACCCTCTCACACCTCACCGTTGCAAAAAACCCCCAAAACTGTCGCAAAAAAACCGCAGCCCTAGTGGGGCCAAGCTCGCTTGTATTTGGTTTAGTTTCAGCCGTGTAGATCAGGATATATCAACAAATGACCCGAACGAACCCCAGGCTCTGATCCTAAAACCGCCCAAAGCCACGATCAAACTCATCGACGTCAGACGCATCCCACGTATTTCTGGTCATGTGGCTTCTTGATGTATTAATTTGTATATTATAGTATGACGTGTTGTATCAAATCGGTGGTCCCAGATGTGTTGACCAGGTGCTACCTTTTTCAGCACCTTACTAAAAGCATCTAAAAGCCCAAAAAGGCGGCATCTTCAGTCTAACGGGGACTTTGGAGAAGCGTTTTCGGAGACGGAAGCGGTTTCGTTGTCTTCGAACTACCCTGAGGCATGGACCCGCAGGGCCCCCCGGCCGATGACCCCGGCCTCTTAGGAAGAGAATACGATTAGAATGATTCACCCATTCGGTTGTAGCTGTCTCTCTACAAAGAGAACATCAAACAACCCCTGATGCTGAAATGAGCTCTCAGTCGGGGATGGCAGAACGGGAGGCAAAGGAAGAAAACACCAAATCAGCGTGGTGCGAGACAGAGCTCGCGAGCAACAAGCAGCTGCTTGGCTTGCCAAGTCACGCGATCAACCAAACATCCAAACATCTTCGGTGTGGCGTGCATATGTTCAGTGGACATCACACATACAAGCCACATACATAAACGCACACACAAACTGGTAGAGCGCTCAGACGCTTGTTGGGGTCTGCTAGCAAGATTCGAACTGTTATTGATCACACGAAGACGTGTGTGTCTACTCCGTGTCAGACGACCGACCGTTCTCTGCGTCGACCGTCTCTGAGGACTCGCGAGACCAAGACAGATGCCGTGGACTCCCTCCAAGCGGAGATCGACCAGTTGAAGGCGCGGAGAGAGACGCGGCTCGCGGCGACTGCGAGGCCGGTGGCGGAGAGGCGACGCCGAGCGAAGCGAAGCAATGTCGACAGCAAACAAAGATGAGTCGGTATGACATGGTATGACCATGAAATAACAACTATTATAGGAGATACTGTACCTTTGAGCAGCAATATAGACCACTTAGGGCCTTAGGGGATCACTTGCTGTTTGATCAAACCCTGCTGTTCACAGTGAAGTCAGCACTCATCATTTAGCATCAAGGATCAGAAGGCAGCATGGCGCCGGAGGTTTCTTTTTTCGCCAGGCCTCCATCGCCAAGTTGGGCGACGAGACCACCACTTTGTCCAAGGAGTGGTCGGGCCGCAAACCTTTGAAAAAAGGTTCTCTCTCTCTTGGAGGGAGGCTCTGGAAGAGGGAGGCTCTCATGCGAGGAGAGAATGACAGGGGCGGCAAGTTCCAGTTCCAGTGCCATGAGACTTCATACTCTGAACCCGTGCTGCTGTCTGCTGCAAACCGAACTGAGTTCACCCAGTTTGGCCACCACCCTGTTTGTTGACGTTGACCACTGACCACCGACCGGCTCGCTGGCCGCTGGCCGCTCCGCTCCGGCCGTTGTTTGGAGGAGCTGACGGAGCTGGATGAGGCGATGACCAAAGCCACCGCCTTGCGACAGAAGGCGATTTACGTGGGATGCGAGGGTGGGCGGTCGGGGGGTGGAGCAGGACCGAGAAATGGGTGGCACATGGCACCCGTCAACGAGGAGGCACCGCCACCGCGCAAGTAGTTGCACAGGATGCGCTCGACGTTCCAAGACCCTAGGGCTCCAGTCGTACCTCCTCGGAAGGTATTTGGACCCTCTAAACCCACGCCAGTCCCACCTTCGAAACGAAGGTACGACTGGAGCCCGTTCGGGGAGAGACCTGAACTCTTAGGAGGTTGGATGGCCGAGTTGGCTGCAGCTGTTCAGCGAAAACCTCATCGTTCACAACACTCCGGCCGTCGGAATAGAACCGGTTCGGCAGTGATGTCAGACCCTTGACCTGGCCATTCACCAAATGCGGCTTGGATCCGCTCGATCGCAGTGGACTGTCAGGGCGCCTTTTGAAGGGCTGCTCCGTGGAAACACGTGCAACCAAACACCGCTGAATCCCAGGGTGTTCAGAACTCGTCCACTTTTTCCGCATGAAATCCGCTCCAAATTCAGAACAGCAGCTACCCACCAGCTCAGAACAGCTGAAGAGAACAGCTGACGGACTTCGGACTTCGGACCGAAACGTCTTCAACAACGGGGGTGGAGAAGACGAAGACGACCCACCCACAAAAGCCTGCCCAAATGGGCGCAGATCGAAGCACCTGCCATCCTGCCAGGAGACGGAGAAGAACTCCTTGACCATTGCAGATGCCAAAGAGGCACAGGAGGCCGTCGCCCAGGCCTTGCAGGTGCTCAAGGACCGCGTCGCGGGGGACCGCGGGGGGACCGCGGGGCGACCGGTTGCACCGGCAAGAAGAGCGATTGCTGCCTTTGAGCGCTGGGGGTATACATGTATGGACATATTTTCTCTAATCTGATGTACTATGCATGTACATTTGTATATGTCACTGTCTAATCTGTTATCTGTTGGACACTTCTCTCCCCAACATATCCCAACTATAAAGATCGAAAAAAGAAAGCCCGTCTCCACTGACCGCAGCAGACATGGACGACCCGCAGCACTGGACCCGACTCGACCGACTGCACCGACCAGGACTTCTACGCGAAGGCCTCCGGCGCCACGGCTTTGCTGCAAAGGTCTTCGGCGCCCGATGTCTTCGGAGACGAGCGCCTCGGGTGGAGTTATGAACCGATGGACGCAAGGGTGTCTCTCACCGGAGGGTGTCTCTCACGGTGTGGCCGAGGGTAGGGGGATTTGCAGAGGATGTGTGGGGTTTGATGTTTGAAGCAGTGAATCTCAAGAATCTCAAGAGTCAATCTATGTCAATCTAGTTAGATTCACTATGGATTCACTCACCCTTTCCTTCATGGAATCCAGATAAACCATGATAAACCGATATTCTGAAACTTGGAGGGGATCCAGGAGTCCAGGATCTCAGTCCCCCAGAACGGCTAGACGTCCTGTGACCGCGTCCAGTGACGGCCAGCGCGCCCTTTGACGCCCGGATTTGGCCACGGACTTGGACTGGAAGATTCGCCGAGCAGTGCGGGGTGGGGTTGACTTGGGCGAAAAATGTAGACTTAGGCGAAACATGTAGGCTTTATCCTGGAGACTGAAAGT